CTGGGACGAGGAGCGGCGCCATGAGGCAGCAGAGGATTACCGCAGTAATCCCGCTACTGGTCAGCACCGGACTAGCGTTGAAGTCTCTTGCTAAGCCTGGCGATCTTCATTCGCCATGGCAAGGGGATATTGTTCTGTAACTATTCTGCTTATATTAAAATCCCGTTTCCGAGTCCGATCCTATTTGTCCTCCTTTTCCCTGGTTCTACCTCTTCTCCTCAACCGAAATGGGCCCTCCACAGATTCCCCTGAGCATGTCTACTGCGTCCAAGCCGGACAGAAGCACTATGACCTCTTCACTACCATATACGTTGGCGCGAACTATTGCGGCCGTTGCGGCTTGGCCAACCCTTTCGGCCGCAGCGTCGGGCCAGGTCTAAAACTCCGGCACTTCCTGGCCCATATGATGAGGTGGTCGAGGTCGAGGACTCTCCGCCACGGCCAGTCAGTCCAGCAAGTCAGCTGCTGCGTGACAGACTGAAACCAGTGTCATCCATCGGCGTTGGACACGCCGCCCAACTACTCCCCAATGAAGTTGCTGGTACCGGTGCGATGAATACACGGGCACGCATACCTCCCTTCGAGGCGTCAAGCAATCCCCAGTTCATGACCGTCGCATCAACGGCCAGTCGAGCCATTCAAAACTCCAAAGGCAGCACCAGGAAGCCTGCGAGGCAACGAACTGGCTACCAGTGGGTCCATGTAAGCCTGCTGCTTGTGAGTTTGGAGACCAGGTACTTCAACGGGCTTGCAGTGGAGGTTCCAGAGACGGTGCTGCCTCTGAAGGATACGGTGATCAAGTTTCCTCGGCAGATCTACTGACTTGGCCTCGTTCACCGAGACTTTATTCGATCACCTCCGTCCGCTTCCGCCCACGATCGATCCTGCCAATAAAGATCTCTGGAACCTTTCTTACGCTTCGACCTTCTCTGGCAAGAAAATCGTTACCGTTCCAAACACCGACAAGTACACGACACCGTCAAGCATGCTCGCATCGGGGCACTTTTCGAACAACCAAGCAGGGCAGTTGAAGGTGCTAGTCGTTCTGACATCCACGGATGTGGTTGATAAGCAGGAGCCGGTCACACCGTTGAGGCCAGATCAATGCTCGACGCCAGTCAAGGAAGACAAGAAACGGAGGGTCAAGCAAGAAGACATAAGCCCAGCCTCTAGACGCAAGAAGCGCGTTAAGCAAGAGGAGCAAGTCAAGGAAGAGATACGCGTCAAGATTAAGCACGAAGAGCCCGTTTCAACTTCATCCTGCCAGAGCCCGACACGCGACGAGCTTGGATATACTGCCAAAGAAATTGTTGGACATGGGGATGCGGTAGGCCTTGGTGAGCTGGAAGATCCACTATGCGATTTAGTGTTTGGCAGTGACCCTAGTGGAAAGGTGTATAAAGGCGTGGTGGCCGAAGGAGTCGAAGTGGACGAAGAAGATAGAGAGGAGGAGACAAGTTTTGTTCCGGAGTTCGTAAGAAACCGAACCAACTCATCAACGAGCCGAGCGCTAACTTCAACAGGTAAACCCGGAGTCAATTTCCCAAGCCTTCAGGGAAACTCAAACTCGACTGTCCGACACTAACGCTGCTAAAGCGCTTCCTCCAGCTCACTCTACACGCTTCAAGGGTGCAAAGATCCCTACAACGTTTGCTATTCGATATAGGAAAAGGAAGTATTGACTACTCAGGCTCCCCATTCGAACCATCGCTATCCTCCCGTCATCACTTACCGGTATTTTCTCCATGTCGCTTCCCTGCTCGTCCTCAAACCCAAGCTCAACAAGTGGCTGCTCTGCTGGTTCCCCATCTCCAAATTCACCTTCTCGGGCTTGGTTTGCTTGCTCAAGTAATGCTTGCTATACGCGCTTAGATTGGTCGACTCGCAAATAAATAGTATGTCTTACATATTCAGCAACGCCTCCAGTTGGCGCTTTACGGTATGCCAGCGTAGGCTGTCGGCCACTTTCGATATGTTGAATTATCTTATCTCGAAGACCAAGGTAAAAACGCTTGAAAGGTCGCAACTTGTCCGGCTCCTGGTGAGTTCCAAGGACTACGTGATCGTAGCCCATTTCAAGGAGAACTTGGCGGCACCAGTTCTTTGTCTCCGGCTCCAAACTCGTGCTAATGTCAATATCAGCCAACGGCCGCTCCATTTCGTCTAGAATGGAGCGGTCAATCGATACCCCAATTGCATGCCTTGTCTGGGTCGGGGTAATGGTAGTTCATCCAGGGCTGGCCGTGGACCACATGGGGACGGTTCTTTGGAGGCGTATCCGATGAAGATTCCACGCCTCCACGAAGTCGAAGAGTTCTCGGCGTAGTAAGTCTTCGAAGACGGCGTAGATGGAAATCTGATCTTCCAGCATATCGCCGTCGAAGTCCCCGTCCCTGGCGAGTTCTCCAAAGTAGTCTACCCACTGCCGGGACGAGACATGCAGCATGCGCTCCCACCAACTCTCGATCTTAACGTTCTTCGTACTTGGAGCCGCCTTGTACGAATCCTTTAGTCGATTTCCTTGTTGGAAAACTTGCCCATGCCATTCCACTCGCCCGTCTGTTGCCAAGACAAAGTTCCAGTGTGCTGCTGCGACCAATGGCGTTTCGCTCCCCCTGTCTGCTTGCAAATACCATGGCCGAAAGCCGTAGGCGCCACACGCGGCCAAGTACTGCTTCAATACGCTCAAAGCAGTTGTAGCGGAGTGGCCAATATAAAACCAGATAATGTTGCGCGAGTATGCATCGATTGCTGCATATATCTCGAATCCATACGCCTTGAGCTTGTCGTGACCGTCAATGCACCACTGGTAGTTTGGTCCTGGGACAAGAAACTGTCCTTCTTCCTCCGAAACATCCTTTTTCGGAGTTCGACCTCATTTGGGAACATGATTTTGTACATCGCAAAGAGGGGGTCTCTCGGGACCCAGAGCTGCTTTTGCTGACGAAGATAAGGCTGGAGAAGGCTTTTGCCATATCCCGAAATGGCATTGGACCGTCGCGTCATCTCGATGATAACCTGTTCTGTCTTTTCCAGCAACACAAGGCGCTCCTCGTCACTATTGAGCCTGCGTACCCAGCGGCGGTCCGGGTGAAGTCTGATGCGCTTTAGACCTCGTTTCGTGATCGGCCAGCCTTGTCTTTGTAGCACGCTCAGCGTCTGCTTCTCGGTAAGCCCAACGCGAAAGATCAGGTCACGGATGGTTTCTATCAGCTCTGGAGTTTCTTTGGTACGGGCTTGCTGGCGCGGGAGACCCCAGTTTGCGATTCGGCGAGAGAGTGTACTGAGATTGACGGCGACATGGTAATGCTTCCGAAGCTTATACTTAATCTTGCTTCGCGAGACACCGTTGAGGTATAGATGAGTGATATAGGTACGGTATTGATCGATTGGATTGGGCGGACGTGCCATTGTTGCCGGTAACGTCGAAGGGATGGTGATTTTCTTAGTCCTCATGCCAGGAAAAAGGGGGACAGCGATATAAATTGACTTACCGCGTTTTCCCGCAGCGGTGGTGCCGCTGGCCCGCAGCGGCTTAGTGCCAGGGGGCTGTTCGTGGAACGGTTACCAAACCAGGCACAGATCGACGCTGCTCACCCGCAAATATTTACAGAACCCAGATCCTCCAACCCTAGTTCCTACCTTTCCTTCTGTATCATCATTGCCGTGGAAAGCCAATGGTCAGCAGCGTTGTCATGTCTACAGCAGATTCCGCTATCGTAAGTGAAACTGCAGTCGCTGGCCCGATGGATGGGGACTCGCCTAGCAGGAATAAAATAGTCAAGGGTAGAGGATTGGTCCGACCCAACGCCCGCAAATCCACGGCCAAGATTACCGTACAATCCAATAAGTTCTTCTATGAAGAAGAGGCGGCTGCTAACTTGCTCGCCCGAGCAGAAGAAGAAGCAGACAAAAAAGGCCCCTCCCGTCGGCTCGGTGCGAGACTTCCCATGCCGTCCTTGCGTCACACGCGCCACCAAGACTCCCGGCCATGAATGTGCCTCCCAGGACAGTACGTTGATTGTCCCCTGTAGTATACGTCTGCCTCACTAATTTGCCGGGATAGATACCGGTGCTGCGTGCTGGGACTGCGCAAAGAACGCTCACACGTGCAGGCCAGTATGAGACCTTTGTTTGCTCCAAAGAAGCGAGAAATTAATCGAGTTGAATGTTCTAGGTCCCTGCTGGGGCTGTTGCTGCCGTGCGTGCCTTTGGGACGTGAATCGGCATCTCAAGCTTGCAGATGCCGAACCCGATGACACCTGGCGCATCGCTGCGCAGCGAGCAGCACAACAGCTACGTGCTTGCGGTGGTAGTGCGGCTCCTTCTACCGCTTCAGGACCAGCTCCCGCTTTGGCCCCCGAAGAGCGGAAGCTTATGGCGTTAGAAACCATCGCTGAGGCTGCTCGGCTCTGGATTGTGAGCGAACTGAAGTTGTGAGTTGCATTTCGGCTGCTAACTGAATATAGCAGCTTAACAAGCCGGAGGATGAGGACGAGGAGAATGTATAGATAGAATAAGGGAACACATTAAAGCGTTGGAATTACCGTGCGGTATTTTCGCCATAGGCGACTGATATGTTTGTGACGAGAGACGCGCTGCTGGTCCGCAGCGGCCCCGTAGCTGTGACTACACCTGCCGTAACGCCAAATTTTCCAACGAAGTTGGGCCGAGATACATAGACCAATGTACCGTGGGGCGGGCCGTTCATGCCGCTAACCCATTTTGACTCTCGCGCGGTGACTTTTTGGGTTTTGCAACAGTGACCCCTATAGCCTGCCGTACCAAACAAGGAAGCTCAAAGACACGAGCAAAAGGTGTTGTTGATTGGTCCAGGGTCCTTACCCCGCATGGCCCAGGTGAGACCGGATGTGCTCACTTAAGGCGGTCAGGCAGCCGCGTCGGGCCTCGTTCTGTAATACAAAACCGTCTTGCACCCCTGCAGATTTATTTTTGGTGCGCCTCTTCCTCCGCAAGGCAAATCAGCCTCACGAGTCGACATGTCCATCCAGTTATTGCAGCAGCTTGTGCTCAATGGGGACGAGATCAAAGAGGATGTCTGGTGCTACAATGGCCTAGATCTCACTCTTGACAAAGTGCTCAAAATAACCTCTGAGCTCAAAACACAGCTCGAAGTACAGACCACCCTGTGGTCGACTGCTAAATTGTTGCAGAGACACCCGAACAATCAACAGCTTCCAAATCAACAAGCCACCCGGGTGAAACACTTCATTAAGTTTGTTTTCGGGCCACCTTCCCGTGCCAAAGATAGGCAACTGCAACTGCGAGAGTTAGACTGCACATCTCTGAAACTCTGCGGGCTGTCCTTTACAGTTCGAGAGATCATTGAAATGGATCAGCAGGAGTTTGACTTTCTCGTTGCCAAGCTCGCGAGCTTCGCAGAGGTCCACAATCTTGCATTCCTCTTATGTCGAGACGATATAAACAAAATTGTTCATGGCGACTTTGAACCCGACGAGGAAGAAAAGTTTAAGGCATTCCTTCTGGGTAAGTAGTCCTTCCGACTTTGGTTTGTTATGGAGTGTTAACGATATAGCACATATCGAATTTCGGCTTGCCTACCGTAAAAGCCTTGACAGAGGCATGCAAGACTCTGTGGATGTACTAGCTCAACTTAACAACAACAGCGCCGCGGAACAGACGCAATCAACACCTCCTCAGGTTGCTTCCGAAGTTCACGAATCGAGAAAGCGACCTCGACGCGGAGAAGACGGGTACCAGAGCATGGATTCGGGCGAAGCACGAAGGCGTAGGTACCACCAATGAAGGTGCGTTCATATGCTAATACATGGACAGAAATCCGATATATGTATTCAAAAGCCCCAATTACCCAGATCTCTTTCCTAGGAGACCTGTTATGTGAGGCGATTCGGGGTGTGAAAGGCCTCTAGTGAGTTGATACAACTAACTAGTCCCTATGCTGTTTACTATCAAGATAGAGAAGAAAGAAAGAAAGAGAATCTACTACATGAGAGCACAATAGCATTTTATAGCTTCGAGCCAATGGAAGGTTCTAGAAGCTAGGCGGCGCAGCCGCCGTTAAAGCGGCTTGCCCGTTACATTACCTCCCTCCCTTCCAACGTTTCCTCTTCCGGGGGATCGTGGAAATCTGTGGCAAGATGACTTGAGAAGGTGACACTCCTTTTATGCTTCTTCCATTGCTTCCATGCATCCGTGTGTCGAATAGTGGTAAGGGGTTCCCACGTAGGCTGCGAGTAATCATGCCATTTTACGAGCACCTTCTTATGCGTACCTTCCATTCTTTCATCCAGAATTCTTTCGACAAGGTACATCTTTTCGCCGTCCACCAGCACCGGTGGGGCACTCTCTGATCGAGTTTCTGCGAAGGCAATGGGTCTCCGGGGACTGGCCGGAGTAGGTCGACGTGAAAGACTGGATGGATGCGCCCAGGCACATCCAACCTGTAGGCATGTGGGCTAACTTCCGCGAGCACTTGATATTTGGCATGTAGCCAATCGAGCTTCTTGCAGGGTCGCGATGTTTTGACATTTCTCAAGTTGAGGTATACCCAATCCCCAGGCTCGTATCTCGGTGCGGCTGTCCTGTGCTTGTTGGCTTGCGCTTGCTGTATTTCCTGGGCCATAGCTATCGCTGCTTGCGCAAACTCCGTGGCGTCCTGTAGTCTCTGAATAAAATCCTCCGCTGTCGCTTCCCCCTGCGTCGTGTCTTCCGTTCTTCGATGCTCAACTAACTGGATTGGCTCGTTGTGGTAGCCGTGCATGAAGAAGAACGGCTCAGTCCGGTGGAGGTTGCTTCCTCTCGTTAATAGTCGCCATCGCGATTGGAAGCAAGTCTAACCAGTTCTCCTGCAGATAATTCGTCCATATCCGAAGAATCCTCTCTACCTCTTGGTTCATTCGTTCTGTTGCACCGTCGGTTTGTGGATGGTACGCCGTCGACAACCGCTGCTCGATCCCTAGCATCTGACAGAAACTTTTCCACATACCACTGACAAACTGGGGACCCCGATCACTGGTGATAGCCGTTGGGATGCCATGGACAGGGTAGTGTCGTTCGAAGAGTCTTCTTGCAACCGCTTCTGTGGAAATATCGTTCAATCCTTCGAGTTCGACGCCTTTGGTGAGTCGGTCCGTGACCACCATGCAGTTCGTCGCGCCATCTTTCCCCGACGGTGGGAGGTCAGTAATAAAGTCAATGGTAATTTCGCTCCATATGCGTTGCGGAATAGGGAGCGGCTTTAGGAGTCCTTTCTTTGTATCCTCCAGATGGTGTTTCGTCCGCAAACCTCGCAGTTGCGCACAAACCGACGTACATCGCTAGCGGCACCCGGCCAGAAGAAGCGTCTCGACAGAGTCGAGTACGTGAGGTCCCTTCCAGGATGTCCGGTGATATGAGAGTCGTGAGTTTCCTGGATGATCCTCGTACGTAGCGGCTCCGAACCGGGTATCCAGACGCGTTCTCTAAAGCACAGCAGGCCTCTATTGTCTAATGAGCATTCTGAAATGCTGACAACCTTCTCCTTCTGTAACTCTGTTGGCAAACTCTTCGCTCCATCTGCTACCAGCTTCGTGAGTTCTTGATAAAGCTTGTCTTCTTGGCGTGCGGCGTGCCACAGCTGCTGTAACTCCTCATCTTCAAATATCCTCATCTCTTTTCCGAAGTTGATTTCCTGGGCACCCTCGGTGTTGGTAGACAATGTCGATATTGGGATCCTTCTAAGGTGATCATCTTGGAATAGCCTCATAATGCGTCCCTTTAGTCGTTCATCGGAGTAGTTGGCCGGCATGTCCTGGTCCCGTCGAGAGAGTGCGTCAGGCAATCCGCCCTTGCGGCCCGGCCTCCATTCGAGCTCGAACTGGAACCTGGACAGGAACTCCGACCACCGCACTTGTCTCTCTGTCAACCTCCTTTCCGAGTAGAAGTATCTCAGGTTTTGTGGTCCGTTAGGACCTTGAAGTGCTCTACTGCCCGTAGCTCCGGTTCCCACTGCTCCAAACATCTGAGAATGGCGAGTAGCTCCTTGTCATGGATAGCGTAGTTCGCTTCGGCTGCCGAATGTTTCTTCGAGAAGTATGCGACAGGTCGTACCAGTCCATCCTTATCATCTCTCTGCAAGAGCACGCCTCCCGACGCGAATCCTGAAGCGTCTGCTTCCACGATGGTCTCCCTTTCTGGATGGAAGTGCGCAAGGATCGGGGCCGTGATCAACAGGTCCTTGAGCTTCTCGAAGGCTTCTTCGCACAGTCCATCCCAACGGAATGGCACGTCCTTCTTCGTTAGCCGCGTTAGCGGCTCCGCTATCACCGAGAAGTCTGGCATAAATATCCTGTAGAAGTTCGCGAATCCGATAAAACTCCTCACGGATTTAACATTCGTCGGGGTTGTCCATCCCTTCACAGCCTCAACCTTCTCCGGGTCGACTCGGATCCCACACTCCGCCTCGATGATAAACCCAAGGTATTTCACAGCCTTGACTTCGAATTCGCTCTTGTTGATGTCCAGTTGCAGCCCAGCATCCATCAGTCGTTGGAGGACCTTGCCGACTTTGTCGCGGTGGTCTTGCAGGCTTCCAGAGGAGAAGATCAGGACATCGTCGATATACGCTGACACAAAATCATCGAGGTAATCCTGGAGCACGCTGTTAATATACCGTTGAAAGGCTGCTGGTGCGCCTGTCAGGCCGAATGGAACTACCAGCCATTCGAAGGATCCATAGCGCGTTCTGAAAGCTGTCTTTTCTTCGTCGCCGGGGGCGACCCTGATCTTATGGAACGCTGCTATAACATCTACCTTGGTGAACCACCTTGCCTTGGCTATAGTTCGCAAGGTCTCGCTCAGTAAGGGCAAGGGATAGCGGTCCCTCTTCGTTATATGGTTCAAACCTCTGTAATCCACGCAGAAGCGGATGCCTCCGCCGGGCTTCTTCACCATAAGGACTGGTGCTGCGGCTGGCGAGCTGCTGACTCTAATAAATCCCTTGTCGAGTAGTTCTGTGAGAGTCTTCCGTAGCACTAATAGCTCCTCGCGGGACATGCTGTAAAGCGGTCCCCAGGGTAGGGGCTTCTCTCGGCCATGCTCGTCTTTCAGCACTTCGATCTTCAGGTCCACACCTGGCCGATGGGGGGGCAGCTGGTCGGCCAGTTGCTGAGAGAAAGCTCGAGACCACGTGTGGTACTGTGGTGGCAGCTTCTCCATCACGTCAGTCTTCGGTTTCGGTCTTAGGGCCTTGTCAATATCCGCCATCGTGACCGAGTGAACTCCAATGCCGCCTTTGCGTTTGTCACGGCGTGCTTCTGCTAAAAAGGTTGCGGCCATGACATTAGAGACGTCTAGCTGAGGAGGCTGGTGACGTCGTCGGTCTCGTACTTGGACTCCATTGGACCCGATCTCGAGATATCCTTCCTTCGCATGGATGTGAACATCCTGGTCTTCCATCCATCGTTTACCCAGGATCATATCCCAGTTCAGATCGTTGATGACGTACATGAAAACACGATGCTGCTGATGTCCATCGAGGTCGATCGACACATACGTGATCTTGTCAATTTTGACCTCTTTGCCGTCTCCCGCTGCATTCTCCAAGATGCGCGGCTGGACGCGTATATGTGGCAACTGGAGAGAGTGAAATGTGCGCTTGCTAACCGCGCCGTAGCAGAGGCAGCCATAGTCGACAAGAGATGGCACAAAGTCTGTGCCGTTCACCCTGACGTCTGCTATGAACGGTTCTCCGTCCATTTTTGCTTTTCCGCTCACATCCCATTCTCTCACAGCCGCCGCGTGTCCCTAGTCTGAATCTTCATAGCTATGAGAAGAAGCATCGTCTTCGGCGATCTCGGCTTTAGTGACTGCTGGTCGTGACGGGGTCACGGCATTGACCTGGGTGCGTCGGGTTGTGTTTGCGGGCCGCATAGGCGCAGCCAATGGGCAGCGCTCGATTCTGCAGTTGTCTCTTCCGCAACGAAGGCAACGCCCTTCACGGTAACGGGCGTCCATCTCGGCCTGGTCGACCCACTTGGCACGCTTTCCTAACAACGCTTGGTCCTCCGGTCGCTTAGATTGATGGCCATATGTGTTCTTATCACTGCGGGTGCGCGCAGCGTTTACTTTCGTGGATGCTTGTGGAGTTGGCTCCCATTCCATCATATCTTCTCGTCTAACATCGGATTTCTGGCCAGACTGTTTCTGGGAAGCCTGGCCTCCATGGTTCTGGTAGTTCTCATAGTTGTCCGAACTCTTTGTTTTGCCTCGGGGCCCTTTCCACTGACCCAACAGTTCCATCTGGCTGCTCAGCGAATCGCACCTCCTCGCCAGCCCAACATAGCTGCTGATGGTAGAGGGGTCAGAGCCTATGAGGGCTGCTTTCATTTTATCGTTTAGTGCCTCCTGGAGGTAGGAAATCTTGCTGTCGTCTGGCCAATACTCGGCGTTGGCATTGGCGATCTCCCTCTCAAAGCGGGGGTAAAAGGACGTGAATGGTTCATTCTCTCCTTGCTTAATCGAATGCAGATTGCGTGTAGCTCTCTGCTTGCGATCCCTCTCCCCGTACAACAACTCGAGGCGGTTGAGTAGTTCAGCAACATTGAACGTTCTCTTCTCGGTTTGCATCTCCACAAATGTGGTCACGTTGTCTTTAGCCTTGCCTTCTAGGCTCATGAAGATGTACATAAAGTGGCCCTCTGCATCTCCAAGGGCTTCTTTATCGACTCGTAGTTTTCCTTCGGTTTCTAGTTTCCAGCTTCGCCACTGGGCCTTGTCGCCGCCGAATTTCGGTATGTCTCGTAATTTGGGGCGCTTGGTTGGGTGAGGCTTGTGAGTGGCGACCACACGGGTGTCCTCGATGGGGACAGCCGGGGTGACAGATGGCGTTGGCTCTAGGGGTTCAGACGAGCGGGCTTGCTGGTGTTGTTGGAGTTCCAGGGCAATAAAACGTTCTTCAAACTGGGTATTTCTTCGGGAACTCTCTTCTCTTAGACTTCGTATCTCGGCAACCAGGGCGCTGAGGACGTCCGGCTGCATGTTGTTGTTATCTTCGGCCATCGCGACTTCGCTGAACGCTAATATTTCGACGGGACTCAGTTACTTTGGTGCCTTTGGTGTCTTCGGTGTCTTCAGTGTCTTCGGTGTCTTCAGTGTCTTCGGTGTCTTCGGTGTCTTCAGTGATCTTGATAGTATGTGAAAGGCCTCTAGTGAGTTGATACAACTAACTAGTCCCTATGCTGTTTACTATCAAGATAGAGAAGAAAGAAAGAAAGAGAATCTACTACATGAGTGTCTGATCATTTGTACGATAGAGCGCACATCGCAGGAGGGTATCACGTGCGTCAGCAGGGAACAACGTTTACCCGACACGCGCACAACCTATCAAACCTCACAGCATGGTCTAGATAGCGAAGAATAACAAGAACAACACGATCACCGATCAAAGACCCAACTGAGCCTCAGTTAGCCTATCCACACTGATCAGTGGTTACCTGGCTGGTAACCTCAGAGCAGCAAGATAGAAGAGAGTCTTTTCTAAGCATCATCTGCATCAGATTGCCCTGCGAAGTTAAGATTGCTAGAACGCGAGACTGACTACGAAGACCCGACCGGCGCCCACTCTATTCAGTCAACCGTGCCTAGTTGTTTGCCTCAGCCGCTGACCTCTTAGGCGTGCCCTATCGCACATACAAATCTCTGGTATCCCGCTTGATTATCAGCTTCATTGATCACTCTCGATCAATTTGACCTCTCTTGACACCTTCTTGCCCTATTCCCTCGCAGATTTTCCTGTCAAGCCCCATCCGACATCATGAGCAGCAGCGCAAGCGGCACCAGCGCGAACGCGAACGCACCGGCGCTCGACATCAACGAATTCCTCGATATTGCTGAATTCAACCGTGGCCTCGCCACAATCTTCAACATGGACCTCTTCAACACCCCAGTCAACGAGACTTCCGATGAGATCCACTATAATACCTACGTTCTCGCCCGCATCGTTGATTATAAAGTCTCCTCAACATGTCAAGGTCTCGAGCTGCTTGGATCATTCCAAGAAGACTTTGAGGATTGGGAGGAAGACGACTTCAAGAAGGTCGATCCAAGGGTCCGTAAGGTCCTACGGAATACCCTAAGGTTCAGAGGAATCTATACAGGAAAGCTGAACGCAAAGATCACGGCATTCCTAGTAAATCTGAAGAACCGTGACCGACTTCCTGAGTGGGATGAAGACGATCTTCGTGATGCCATCTTATACGAGAAAACGGCCGCCTACCGACGCCAACAAGAACTCCTCAGACGATCGCCATCGCTAGCAACAACCCCAGCACCAACCCCAGCACCAACCCCAGCACCAGTCACTCCCGATCTAAACCTCCCGCAAGACCCCCCCCCAATGACCAATCCCTACCCCTGTCACGATCGAATCAACAGCAGCAGGAACTTATGATCAGACCAGCTATCGACCGCGAAGCTTACCGGACCGTGCCCCCCAGTCCAGGTCCCCAATGAAGACCTCGATCCTGCCATCGCCAACCAGTTTTCTAAGCTATGGGATCGAAAGCTCAACTATTCAGGTGACGCCTACGATATCCTAGATGATAAGATCCGTTACTTTCTCGATGCCTGCCTCACAGCTAGCATCAAACCGTCACAATTCCACGCTTTGTTCTCAAATATCCTCACGAAGAGAGCAAAGAACTTCTTCGTGCATCAAGTCAGCCGCGATTCAACGTTCGCGGAGATGTATCAGAAGATGAAGCAGCACTTTGATACGGAAGTCAATAAGCAACAGTATCACACTGACTGGACCTCGATCAATTTCACACAGCTTCGGAAGGAATCTCCGAGAAGCCTCTCTGTGAAATCCTCCAGGCTCTTCTTGACAAATTGCAGCTATGCCAGAGAGCTCTTGGGAATAGCTATGGCGGCGAAGACCAGCTAATTTCAACGACAATTCGAGCATGCCGTGGCGTGCCTGAATTAGAATTCGCCCTCTTCGTGCCGGCTAAGACCTTCGAGGGACTATCTTCACAGCTAAGATCGTCACTCACAACCGTCAGCCAAAGACAGCCCGGACAGCCCAGTCAATATCTTCAAGATCAAGACCAATTCTTTACTGACCGCCGCTATCAGCACCCCGCTGACAAAAGGAAGAAGTGGACGAAGCGCTGCTACGTCTGCGGCAAAGAAGGCTGTTTTTCAACGAAGCATCCGGATGACGAGAGAAAGAGGGCCAAGGAAAGATATCTTCGAGAACGAGGATTTCACGGCCAGAAGTCATCTTCCCGTCCATTTACTACGTTCCTTGCCGATTACGAAGGGGACCCAGATGAAGATCAGACCTCTGATTCTGCTGACGATGACTCTGACGATCAAAGCGATAGCTTCTTTGCAGCTGCCTTCCTATCTAATAGAGCTTTTCGCCACCGCATTCACACCGTCGAGGGAGAATCGATATGCGAGGAATCACAGCATTTCTTGCTCGATCGCTACAACCGGACCTCTTTCCAAGGGATCCTGCCTGACACGGGTGCAGCGAAGATATCTACAGCTGGGATCGACCAATTCCGCGCGCTCCAACGAGAGATGCCGACGGTCCAGCTACGGAAGAATGCGACGATCGCAACGGTCAGATTCGGTGGAAACGAGCCGACGAACACGATCGGGATCACAACAGTCATTACCCCGATTGGAGAAGTCGTTTTCCACGTTATCAATATGTCAACGCCCTTCTTGCTATGCCTCAAGGATATGGACCGTCTCGGTGCCTATCTCAACAACGTCACGAACGAATTGATCTGCGGCGATAAGAGGATTCCGATCGTACGCAAATGGGGTCATCCGTGGTTCTTCCTACGGAAGGATGAAGCCGCTATTGCCTTCCTATCCGAAGCCGAGCTTCGGCGCCTACACACTCGCTTTGGCCACCCGTCAGTACACAAGCTACATAAGCTACTGACAAGCGCTGGGCATGATGTTGAATTCGAAGCAATCGCGATGATCCGAAAATTCCGTCATTTTTGCCAGATCAAGGCAGACGCACCGCGCAGGTTCAAATTCACGTTAAAGGATAACTGCGATTTCAACTACGAATTGATCGTCGATGTAATGCATCTTGACAGCCGGCCAGTCCTTCATGCCGTTGACCTAGCAACCTCTTTCCAAGCCGGACGATTTCTTCAGAATATATCGGCTAAAGAGACGTGGAAGCACTCAAATTGTGTTGGATTGACACATACCTAGGCCCTCCAGATGTTATCACGCACGACGCTGGTACGAATTTTGCCTCCTCTGAGTTCCAAGCAGAAGCGAAGCTGCTAGGAATAACCTGTCACCAAGTGCCCGTCGAAGCCCACTGGTCAATTGGCAAGGTGGAGAGATATCACGCCCCGATTCGAAGGGCATACGAGATCTTGAAAGCCGAGCTAAAAACAGCATCAGCTGAGTCGTTGCTTCAAATGGCCTTCAAATCCGTCAATGATACCGCCGGACCTGACGGTCTAGTGCCCACACTACTAGTCTTTGGTGCCTACCCTCGGATAACGATGGATTCGCCGCCTTCTGCTTCCGCGATCACACGTGCGAAAGCCGTGACGAAAGCTATGGCAGAGCTACGCAAGCTTGTAGCTAAAAGGAAGGTCAATGACGCCCTCAATGCCCGTAATGGGCCCAACACGATTGAGAAGATGCCACTATCATTGCCGCTTGGTAGTGAAGTTCGAGTATTTCGTGAGAAAGGAGGATGGAAAGGCCCATACAAGGTCCTAGCTGTGACAGACACAGAGGTCACAGTTGAGCTAGACAACGGGCCAGCTAAATTTCGCAGCACGGCTGTCCAGCCCTACTTTCGCCACCCGGATTCGCAGCAGCAACGAAGTCACGATGTTCTACAGCAGCCACACGCTGACAATCAGACTGCTGACAATCAGGCTGATAGCATCAACGTTGAGACCGAAGTGCCTAAGCCATTCGAATATCCCGAGCCGGAGAGACCACGCAGACGCGGCAGACCAAGAAAAGTCCTCGAGATCAGCAGCAATACGATACCTTCGTTCCTTCTAGTTATTTCCTTAGTCTTAGCCCTTTTCGTTACCTCGATCTCAATTTTCACCCGCTAATATGTTTCTATCGCATAAGGAGTGCGCCGCCCTCGACCTTGCCGTAAAGTTACGTGCAGAGAAGAAAATCACTACCGCCGGACGACCGTTTGAAGCCTCTGATGACCTCGAAATCACGAACCTGCTAGGCGCAGGCGTCATCGTGCCCGAACGATACGATATGAATAAGCATGGAAAACACAGGCTATTCAAGTCACGAATGGTCCGGGAGGTCAAAGGCAAGAACACTGCTACACCGTACGAGAAGTCTCGTCTTGTGGTACAAGGATATGGTGACGACGAGAAGCGTGAGATCCTCACGCAGGCTCCAACAATCTCCCGTCCTGCCCAGCGGGTAGTACTCGCTCTTTCCCCTTTCCTTTGCTCTTTGAAGATGTCTCTGCTATCCGAGACATTACGATGGCCTATACGCAGGCATCGACCACTTTGAATCGCACTATCCTCATCTCTTTGCCACACGAATTAAAGAGAGATACCCAGGGGAACCATCCTTCGTGTGGTCAAGCCATTGTACGGAATCGCTGAAGCAGGCGCTCATTGGTTCAATACGTATCATGAGCATCACCGCATCAAGCTACAGATGGAGCCGTCAACGTTTGATCCATGTTTAATGATAACGACCGCAGAGATCAACGTCACGACCGCAGAGACCAACGCGGATACCGCACTTCAGGTTAATGCCTCGGCGTTGCCGCGCTTCAGACTGATGATACGTTATTGGTAGGCACAACAACATTCCTGCAACGTGAAGACCGCGAGCTATGCTTCCAAGCCAAGCCAAAGAAGACCCTACGAGAAGGCGATACCTGTGATTTCAACGGCAGCCTCATTGCTCTAGAGAAGGGCTATCTTCTAGTCATGCAGAAAGGTCAGGTCAACAACCTCAAAATTATCGATCTATCCACGGAAGATCGGGCCCAACGATACGTGGAACAACGTGCCCGTGGCGCCTATATAGCCTCAATTTGTCAACCAGAGGCTAGCTTCGATTATTCAATCGCGGCACAATCACAAGATCCAACCGCGGAGGATTTTCAGGCGTTGAATAAACGGATCCAATGGCAGATCGACAATCCACAAAGAGGCCTTCGATTCGTCCCAATAGGTCTAGAAGCAGCAAAGGTCTTCGTCTTCACAGACGGATCATTCGCCAACAACAAGGACTTAAGCTCTCAGATCGGATTCGTTATAATCATTGCAACCGAGACTAAGTCAGATGAGTCATTCACGATCCACGGAAACCTGATCCATTGGAGCTCGACGAAGTGCAAGAGAGTCACCCGCAGCGTCTTGGCTTCTGAGATATATGGATTAGCTTCAGGCTTCGATTTGGCATATGTGGTTGCAGGGACGATCAACCAGATTACAAGCCGCCTTGGATTACCGCAAATCCCGCTCGTTGTGTGTACAGATTCGTACAGCCTGTACGAGTGCCTAGTGAAGCTTGGCACCACCACGGAGAAACGTCTGATGATCGATATCATGGCGTTGAGACAGGCCTACGAACAACGCGAAATCACCAACATCCGCTGGATCAACGGAGCGGATAACCCGGCCGATGCAATGACGAAGCTATCTCCAAACGGGGCCTTAACCCGATTCGTTAACGACAACGAGATCACGATCCGGCTCGAAGGCTGGGTTCAAAGGAAGGAAGATATGACCGCATGATTGACGATTTTGATTTAAGCTTGCTATCGATTGTTCCTTTGTGTTGAGATACCCGTTTTTACATGTTGTTTGGGTGTTACGTTTAGTGCGTTTTGTTCGATTCTTAAAGAGATGCCAGTGTCTGATCATTTGTACGATAGAGCGCACATCGCAGGAGGGTATCACGTGCGTCAGCAGGGAACAACGTTTACCCGACACGCGCACAACCTATCAAACCTCACAGCATGGTCTAGATAGCGAAGAATAACAAGAACAACACGATCACCGATCAAAGACCCAACTGAGCCTCAGTTAGCCTATCCACATGAGAGCACAATAGCATTTTATAGCTTCGAGCCAATGGAAGGTTCTAGAAGCTAGGCGGCGCAGCCGCCGTTAAAGCGGCTTGCCCGTTACACGGGGCAGCCGGCAGTGGCAACTGGAAAGACGCTTGGGGGATCCAACAACAGATTGCTTGACCACATTGATACCCAAGGACCCGACACAAGATATCTCCGTTACTCTATGGGTCGGCCAAGAAGCAGGTCTTCAGATGAACGACACTTTCAATCTGGTGCCGAAGTGGATATCTTCACCCAAGCATGTAGGACCTTGATCCTGTACCCTTTTGGAACAAGTTGCCAGCTGCTATACACGTCCTCCGCAGTCCACTCCCAATATAATGCTGTATTCTCTGGTGCTTCGGGGTCGAACACCAGGATCAATGTCCCTCTGCCTATGATCCAACTGTCCTCACTCGCAGCTGGAAATAGATGGCTGGGGATATATTCTTCGGACCCACTGAGTGCAAGATCGCCACGCTGTACGGGGGAAGGTCAGCAATCGAAGATGGCGATACAAGAGCTCCGTACGTACTGCCGTCATTATTGACATACACCAAGCTTGTTGACTCGAGTACCGATCAGTTCGGAGTATGAGAAAGCGACTGCTGATGCAAATTCGGCCGACTTAATTTAGCTGCTAGATCTGTCGCAGTCGTTGTTCCGACTCCCTAGTGCTTCGTGTACCGAACTGCGCTGGCAGGTCAGGACTCGCGGGACAAGCGCGGGGTCGAAGTGCGTTTCGCATGAGTGCCCGAAGCACTTGAATTAGGCCGGAAAGACAACTCACAGGAGCTGGGAGAGTGTAGAACAAAGTGATGCGGCACCGGCGTGGGGGTCAGAGGAATGAGCCCTCATCCTTTTCGACAATATATGTGTGATTCGATGACACGATCGTGACCACGCTGGGAGGGGCAGTTGATGCTGTCGCCACGTGTTAGGTTGTGGCAAGTGGGGTAATTTCATCCGGCGACTCATAGATCCGCGCCGGGGCTGGAGCCAATTACAGGCACGGACCCCCGTGCCCAAAGCCGGAACAACCTTCGGCCCGTCCAGCGCCATGAATGAGACGCCAACATCTGCACGCGAAGGCTGCTGCGCACGGCAATCCCTTCCGGCTGACGTCGTTCTGCTGCTACGGCCGCTTTCGTTGGCAGTGTATCCTGACGCTCATCGGCGTTAACAAGATCGTGCCCGGCGGCATCCCGACGAAGTGGAGGTCCTTTGTCGTCGCCGATTCCAGTAATATCCCGCCGGCGGCCCGAAGTGGATCGTCATGTCGGACGAGATTCGATGCCCTGGGGACGCCTTGTCGACAATGACCTCCACCGCCGAGTAGCCGGCGCCGTTCACCAGCTTCAGCCCCTGATGGGTGTTGTGGTTCACGACGACCGGCATCCCGGCCACGAACATGAAGACGGCCGGCACGGGGATCGCGCTATCGTCGCCTTGATTGAGTATCATGATCGCTTCTTCCTCGGTCGGCAGGCCCTCCTTCCACTTGTGCTCGGAGATGAAGATGCGCATCGTCGACCGCTGCTGGACCCGGAACGCCAAGCTTGCCTCCATGTTTAGGTTCCACCGATTCCTGTTCAGCGGCGTCACCACGGTGATGCCAGTCTCCCAAGGGATCCGCCTGCCCTCGCGGTAGCACCTTGAGTTGAGGAGGTCCAGATCCGTGCGGTCCTGCACACCCTGCCGGATCCGCTTCAGCAGCCCCTGCAATTCCGGATCCCCGGCGGCGCGCATTTGCTCGTTCAACATGACGACCGTCGTGAATCTCTTCCACAGCGCGTGCGCTTTGTCGTGCTGGTGCCGCTGCTCGGCCTTGAACGAGTTGTCTACGTCCCACGAGATGGCCGCGCTCGGCAGGACGATCGACCTCTCTTGGACCGGCCGGAACTGCTGAAAGTCTCCGCAGAAGAGGACGATGGGGATCCCCGAAATCTTTCTGCGATCCGCGAAGCCGACAGAGTCGCTCGTTTATGGCGTGCAGCGTCCGCGCTCCGAGCATGCTCACCTCGTCGATGACAAGCACGTCCTTCTCCTGCCAGTCCATCCGAGACTGGCCGTGGATGAACCGCTCCGCCCGTTTTGTCAGCCGCACCCCGTCAAGGTCCTTGGCTGTGTTCGCGCCGTCCGCCCCTTGGTCTTTAGTGAACCCGCAGGCGGAGTGGATCGTGATGCCGTTGGTCTGCGCCGCGGCAGTCCCTGACGTCGCCGTGATCAGCAGACGATTCGAAAGGCTCTTCCCACTGAACAGCTCGACGAGTGCCCCAATGATCCGCGACTTGCCGGTGCCCCCCTCGCCGCCGACGAACTGGCAGAGCTGGCCGGCATCGCCCTATTCGTTTGTCGCATCAAATCGAGCTGGCGGCATATTATTAGGAAAGCGATCGACTGCCTCTTGTTCAGCGTTAGCCGTGTTGACAACTCCTTGCCCGCCGCGAAGAAGGAGGTCGATGGGCCAAACTGGACGCGCATTCCCGCTTCTGCGTCGCTAGCCGTCTCGTCGGAGTCGGCTGTCGTCATTTCGACGTCGTCCTCCCGAAGCCGGTCATCTCCTCCGCAACGCAGCTCGGCGATCGCTTTACCGGACTGCGATTGTGGTTTGTACGCCTTGGATCATTCTCTCCCTTTCCTCGACGCACTTATCTGCTGCGACTTGATAGCCTTGACCTGATCCTGCGGCGGTAGTGCGGCCCCGGAAAATACCCGCCCTGGCATGCTTATGCACCTCAACCCTTGTTCGGGAATCGCGATGGCCTCGAGCTCGGCCGTTGAGCAGAGCGCCGATTGCTGGAATCGACAGAGCTGCCGCATCATTGCCATGAGCTCCGGCGACTTGGCCGTCACCTGATTCGTGCCCACTGCGCCTCGGACGACGTCGATCAGGCGCGTTGCGTCTCCGATGTTGTTGGACCGATATGTCGCTGCAAATTCTGCGCCCGCCTCGCCTGTCTCGCCCTCCTCGACGTGGGCGACCGTGGAATCGCCATCGCCGGATGAGGCCGCCCATTGCTTGGCGTCGCGCTTTGCGTCTTCGGCTGATCGTCGAAGCAGCTGCACGTTGTCGACGAGACATGATATTCTCGGGGCCAGCGCCTCTCGCGCCCGCTCCCAGATGCTATTGATCTCACCTGTTTCTTCGCACAGAAAGGACTCCCACGGCACAAATAGCGCAAGATGCTGCACGGCTGCCCTTTAAGGGGAGGGGGTTAGCCACTCTGATGATGCCTGCCGGCAGGGCGGTTGCTATACACACCTCCGGTGGCACGACTCCTCGTCGTCGTTGTGGCCGAAGTCCTTGCTCAGGTAGCCATCGAGGCAGACGGTAGCATGCTTGCCCGGCCGCCTGAGCACCTGGACCCAGCGTCTCCCGGCGCCCATCCATCCTCGAAGGGCACCTCCCAGGCCGCACAGCTCTCATCCTTACTGGTGCGTTTTAGTCTAACGAGCGATATGTAGTCGTATAAGCATAGCCCTCGCAGGAGCTCTCCCGGTGCTGGTACGCCTCAACGTGGGAGATCCTCAGGCCTGCTTCTTCGACAACGACCGACTCATTCAGAGCATCATCTATGGCCGCCGCGCCATTTGCTCGTCGGAGATACGGCCACCGTCGAAAGACTTCCCAGTACAGCAGAGATGTGTTCAGGTACGCCCAGGCGCTGCTGTTGGTGAACTCGGCCGGATATCCCAGAAGATGAGCAATGACCTCGACCTGAGACAGCGGACGCTCCGTGAACACACGATTCGCCACCCTCATCAAGAACTGTCGCGTCCTGTTCCCCTTGGCGGCGTCATCGCCAACAGCACCTCCACCGTCGTCCTGTCCTCCGTTGGCCGTGCCGTCACCCGTTGAGGCGGCCAGGAGATCGGCCGCGGCCGCCACACGCTTCCACACCGGGTCCTCCACCTTCGTCGCGTAGTTCGTGACATAATACATAAGGGCCATGGTCTTGCGCTGCGTCGCAATGAAGGAAATGTCGTGGTTGTGCCGGAGCCCAACAGCGATAGCCTTGTTCCATCGATTGACCATGCTGTGAGTCCTCCGGATCTGCAACACCCCGTCTGCCGTGATGGCGGTCTTGTCGACCAACCTCCATGGAGACTTAAACCGGCATAGATTCCTTTCCGCGCTCCTTTGCCCAAGGAATACTTGACACAGGTCGGGCTATGCGTGTGAACCTGTGTAGCGCCGGCACAGAAGTTGGCCTCCTCGTCAAATGCGGCCGAAAACTGCTCGGTGTTGTCCAGCAGGAGGAAATATCGGACGTCACAGATCGCTCCGCTTGCACGGCGCAGAACCCTTCCTGATCCAGATCCTATCTTGCACGTCAGCCTGGCCCCGTTTGTCCATCGGACGAGCAATTCAGGTTCTCAGTGACACGTCTTAGCTATTCTTACCTCGGAGAAGACACTATCGACGTATCGTATGATTCGCTCGCGATACGCCGCCTGATCCTCCCCGTGGATGTCGGCAAGCATCGAGCTGAGATGCGCGTTTCCGTGCAACCAGAGCAAGCCGTGAACATGAAGCGCCCTCGTTCGTTGGTCTCCACAGCGCCATAGTACTTGCCGATGCGCCCGAATACCGACTCTTCTCCGACCTTCACGTAATGATCGAAGAACAGCTTCATCTCCGGTGGAAGAATACGGCGGCGCTCATCGGATCGGACATGGCCAGCCTTGTCCGCTTGTACGCACTCCCAAGGCCTTCTAGGAACTCCTCGGCCGCGCCGGGATCGCGTGTCCGATATGCCGCCAGTCGCAGCTTCACCGGGTTCGTAATGTCGTTTGGGTTGATGGTGAACCAGATGGCCGGAACGCCGTAGCCAACGATGAGCGACTGGATTTTCCGCCGCATATTGAGCCGAACCTCTCGACTTGGGTTGCCGGTGGCCGTACAGCGAGAGGCTCCTGAGAAGCTCCTTCACGCCCTCATCGGTCGTCTTGCCCGAGCTCTCCAACTCGACCCTCGCCGCCGCTAACCTTTGCGCGGTCATCGAGCGGGCAACGCGCTCGACCTTGCCGAAGTCCTTCCTCGCCACACTCAGCATGCTGACGCGGCGGTTCCTCGACCGCACCCCCATGTTGAAGACGAGAAATGCAAATATGTGGTGCAACGCAAACCGGCCACCATGGCGCCGGAGCACGATGTCGGCCCAAATCCGGAGGTTCAAGCTTCGGGAGGATACGATGTCTCCGCTGCCGCCCCTGCCTCAGCAGCTCTACCGGTGCCTCGCAAGTTGGTAAGGGCCTTCCCGCCTCGGCTATGGCCTCTTCGGCCAGCCTTGGTCCCCCAACGCCAAATGGGAACAGGGTCGGGAACGTTCTGGCGAAGAAGGACGTCTCAAAGGAGTCGGCAAACTCATCCCCCCGCGAGACTCGAATGTATGGCTCACTGCCATCGTCGCCACGCCCTCGACCCCCCCCCACCGAGGATCCGACCCACGTTCTCGGGCCCGCGCGGCCGTCGTCGGCACCTGCGCCAACAGCGTCACAGGCAAACCGCAGCTTCTCGACATCCGCCACGTCTGGCGGTCCGTCCAGCAAACATGCCGGAAGACGTCACCTCGTTGATTGGTCGAACGTTCTGATCGGGGCTAGCACCAACTCCATCACGACCCGCGCCTTCTTCGTTGGGCCCGTGCCCTTCAGCCTCGCCTCCCGTTTCCTGCCTTTGGTTGAGCAGAGCGAAGAGTTCCTCGATCTCCACCGACCCCTCGTCGTCCATGGCGCGCTCCGTGGGCGGCACAACGTGCGCCGTCCGCGTTTTCTCCCATGCGGACGGCTCGTTCCGCTCCATGCGATCATACACCAAGGCCGGCACCCCGTCTATCGGGTCTCCCCAACTCTCCATCTCCGCCACGTCGATCTCGATCTCGGCGTAGTGGGGGTTGCTCCTCTTCAGCCAAACAAGAGCCCTCTCGACGACCCGCCGCCTCACCGACAAGAGACTCGACAGGTCGCTCGGTGCCGGCTTCTCCACGCCCTGCCACGAAACGTGGATCTCGTCCAGTGCTTGCAAAAGGGGGTGCGGGAGCACCTTGGTCGCCAGCTCCTGCACGTTGTTGGGAAACACTGTGATGTGGCCCTTGACGTGCCTCGGATACCTCACGGCCTGCCTCTGCCCGCCCGGAATGCTATATCTCGTGACAAACCCATAGCAGGAGTTGAGCGAGACGAGCTTCTCTTCGACCAGCGTGAGTCCCTTGAGCTCGTCAGGGAACATGTGCTCACAGCCAAGGCGAGTGTGAAGATGGACCGCCGGCGACAGACTCCCGCGCGCCAGGCATCGGGCACACTCCGCACACACCGACACGGGCTCGCCTTCGGGAAAGCAGCTCCGGCATGAAAATGGTGAGCGGCCGCCCTCTGGCACGCAGCTTGACAGCCATTGATCCCATCTGATCTCCCTCAGCTCTTTTCTCGTACGCTTGCGGTAGCACATCATGCAGGTCCGTATCGGCAACGTGCTCGCATCGTGGAACGCCTGATAAAAATCCCGCACCGTCGACACCTTCCTGTCGTGCGGTATTGGCGTACACCACGTCTGATCGTTAGACAGCCTCTCCTTCATGGCGAAGTCTTCCTCCAAAAAACGCAGCACACTCGCCAGGTCTTCGGCCCGCAGCTCCCGACTCCTCTGCCTTCCGATTCCACTCCGAATCTGTTTTCTCGGGCGCTCGTCCGGACCAGGAAGACGTTTTCTTCTCCCGCCTCCGGGGCCGCCTCCGGGGCCGCCTCCGATCCATGATTTCTTCTCTCCGTGGCTGATTCGCTTCTTCGCAAGCCGTCGGATGCGGCAGCTTTGGCGACGACTGCCCGACTACGTGCGCATCCCCTGACACGCCATCCGGCCCTTTGCACTGGACAGGCACCGGGCCGTGCTGGCGAACGTTTTCCACGCCGAACCTTGACCTCAGTCCTTGCCCTCCAGCACTCTCCTCGTTCTTGCTGCCGATCAAACTGCACGGGCTCCCAGCCGCCACCCGCGATGAGCCGCCCACCTCCCTTTGCTGCAGCCTCCGCCCGCTCAGCGAAGCGTCCGCTGGCTCTGCCGCGGCGTCGCCCACCCCCACAGGAGACGGCCCCGGATGCTGCGCCGTACCTGCTGCGTTGGAGACACCCCTGCGGCCTGGTACTCCTTTACCCGCCAACTCCGTCCCCGACGGCGCTTGGGCAAACCAGACGCAATCGCTGCTGCTAATTGCCCGTTTTCTCTTAAGTTGTCGAATACCGGTTCCCTAGGCTGGATGGATCGAAGCTTCGGTACCTCCTTCGAATGAACACTCGGGACATCGCCCGCCGCCGCCGTAACACGTTGCTCCTCATCTTCAGGATCTCCTCCTGAGGCAGAAAGTGCCGATGAGGAGCGGACGATCAGAGTCCGCTACCCCATATCTCCACGTTCCCTAGGCAACAGGGGCCTCGGAAGCTGACCCGGTGACTGATGTTGCGCGGAACTTCCGCTGCTAACCATATTATGGAACTTCCGTGCTCTGTTTGACCGCAAACCGCCTCGCGGCGGTCTTCTCGGCAACGACCTCGCAATTGCTTCTGCGTGCTGTCTCCATGCGGTGTCTTCAACCACAGGTTTCCTAGGCTGAATCGGCCGGAACGTTGATGCCGCATTCGCCCGTGATTCGTATCTTCGTAACCGTCCCAGGCTCTCCCCGTGCTCTGCGGCCCTCTCAGAAGCTGCCACCACATCTACACCGGCTCCTGTCGCACCATCTCCGAGCCCCGAACCCGACCCGCTCACGTTCTCACCCTCTTCTCCATCCCCGACTGACAACGAACAGGCTTCAGGGTGAGCAACCGCCTCGCTTAACTTCACTGCAGGACTGTCCGCCATGCTGCTGCCTCCTCGACGTCGACTGCCGTAAATTGGCAACAGGCTATAAAGCTTTGGCTCCGGAGCACCTCCACTTGGACAGTCTCGCTTGTTGACGACGCTACTTCTCCCGAATGGGAAGCTCCCTAGCCATCACTTCCCTCATGGCCGTGGCGTTTCTTCCCCTTATAATGCTTGCCTATGGTACCGAAGCGATGCAATACTACTCCCGTTACCATGCCTATCTATGTGCGTCCACCGTCCCGGCCTCGCCTGGTCTCCACGTGCGACCTGCTACCCCGGCTTTGCCAAAGCGACCCTTCCATCGCCGTGCTCTCTTTGCGCACTCCAGCGAATCCCTGGCCACTGCCGACCTCCGGCACATGGAGATGGCCGCGACAACCGCCTGCCGCACACTTCAAACCATACTCTTCAGCCCTTCCAACACCATCCTACCAACCTTGCGCATCAGTTCACCATCAATACCCGCCAATCCGCCTCGTCGAGCAACAGCCACAAGGCTGCCGGCGATAACATGTCCATGACGTCCTCATGCAGCCGGACTACCCTTCTAGATTTGCTCCTCGCCAGCACCAATGTCGCATCAACGGCCTTAATGCTAAAGCGATAGCCAGGACCCCTGCCTGTCCTCTTGTAGTCGCTAGCCACCGGAGTCTCGACTTGCAAACCCTCTTGGAAAGTTCTCGTGACCAACTCGCATCCTCCTCCTCAGGTCGACCCATATATCCGACTTCACCGTGTCCCAATAGTAGACTCGACACGGTCGGCACCCGCCTCGCTCAGCCGCACGCAATGCCCATCCAACTACCGACGACCGTCAAAAGGAGTCCTGCAATACTACCATAACCTCTTTCTTTCCTTCACTCTCATTCGTTATTGCCCCCTTTGCTATCTACTCCATGCAACGATGACACCGAAGGGGACTACTGGACTTTCTTTCTCCGCAGTCTTACCCACACTAACCTTACCGTTCGCCGACCTCCAACTTCTCGCAACATAGCCATCACCCCTACTCAACTTCCAACCCCCGGCTCCCTACTTCACTCACGACCACAGAACCAGATGGTCGAGACTGCTCGAGAACCTCGCCAGCTCATTCCCGCATACCCCCGCTTCTGATCTATCACCTAGGTAGCATTCACTGACTCTCAAGTCTCCCCGACCCGAGCCACGAGCCCTCTTTCGAGCAGCAAGAAAACCTGCTTTATAGGATGCCTACCTCTACTCTGCCTAACCCTCCTTTACACTTCCACGGTGACCACATCTGCCATGTTCTCACGATGTCGGCCTCCCAGCTCAACGTCGATACCTCGTCCTCCCGCGGCAACCTCTTGACAGCCAGAAAATGCTGGCGCCGACATGTCCATGATGGCCTTTGTCCAGCCCGGCTGCCCGTCTAGGTTCGCCTACCAGAATGAGCATCGTGTCAAAGGGCTCAACGCAGAAACCCTAGCGAGGGTCTTCCTTCCAACGCCCTCATGGCTGTCGACTCCAGAGTATGCAGCAATCCGGTCAGATCCTGACAATCCATCGACCTGCATCTTCTTGAGCCTTAATATTTCCATATACAACCAACAGATAATCCCCTCGGAATGGACCGAGCAGTGGTTCTTTATGGTCGGCCGTGTTCATCCCTTTGCCCTGACGTGGGAAATCGAGCGACGTGATAGCTTCGAGTCGGAGGATGACAACATTACAGAATACACCATCCCGGCTCTCATCGTCCGCGACCACAGCTACCAGCCGTAGGTGTATGCTCCAGACCTCCGTCACCACTACCATCTCTGACGATGGCCACAGAGTCATCCTCGCACCTCGGCTCGGCGGATGCCTTCCCAGCGATACAACCCATTGTCTCCTTCACGGGACCTGTCATCGGTTCCGGCCGCGACCTTCTGCATGGAAACTCGGCTGCGGCCCTTGACGACACCCAGCTGAGCTGTTGCGGCTTTGTCCAGCTCTCGACCTTTATCTGTCCTGGGATTCCGGGCAAAACACCCTTCAAGGGCTCTCATCCCTTTCAACTTTTCGTCATCTTCCCCATTCACGCCAATCCTTGGACCTCCCTATGCAAGAAGATGACCGAGAGGCGCGATAGCCAGTTCCAGCCGAACGCTCTCCTCACCTGCACGGGCAAAATCGCCGGCTTACTCGATCACCAGATCATGACACATGCCCCGGCCTTCGAGCAAGACTATATCTTCATCGTCGTCCCCGATACATGGACTTTCCTTGACAGGGCCATGTCCAACCAGGCTTCTGCGACACAGCTACTGCCGACGACACCCAAGGGCTCAGTCGGCAACCCTCGGACTATAGCGATGCGTTGGCCAGGTTTACCTCTACCAAAAACGCAATGCCGCCCCAAGCGGCGCCTCCCACGCCGCCTGCATCTAGGTCAGTCGATCCTTATGATGACATCAAAGCGGTCATTGCCCGATCCCGACCAAACCCCAACCAAGAGACCGCGACTTTCTCCAGAAATTTCCACCATAGTCGCCGCCTGTGATAGTCGAGGCCCCGCCAAATCCGACACTTCCTCCCTTCTGTCCCACGAAGACCCGGAGACTCAGAGACGGACACCGAGCCAGTCAATCACCCAGCCACATCCGCCTCTGGCCCTATCAGACCTCCGGCGTCAATCTCTTCCCGACCCCACCGCGCCCGACATCCGCCCAAGAATATTCTGTAAAGCAACGAACGAAACAACACAACATGACAAGGAACATGTTTCATCATCCTCAAACTCAAGTGCGAAAGGCCCTAATGGGATATTTCCTTCTCCTCTTGCTCTCCTTTTCACAAAGACAATCCAGTCAAAACTTCTCCAATATACTCCTTATTCTGTTTATATCCACCACTTATAGCACCTGTAAATCCTCAGAGCCTTCCACTCGCCCACACATGCATTACCCACCCACAACTCTCTTCACCCCTGCCGCCTCTCCACGCCCTTTGCGCCTTTGCAAAGCAAAATCTCCTTGCAGCGGCCTAGGCTGCCTCTCTGACGCTCTGTCTCGATTTCACTCACGATAATGCTCTACGTCTCTCGCCGGATCTCCATCTCATATCTCTTATCTCACTCTTCTTCCTGTCTTCCTCTCACTTCCCCTGTCTCCTATCTCCTGTCGCCAACTCTCTCCTCTCCCCGACTTTCTCCTATCGCCATCGCCAACTTTCGTTCCGAAAGGCCTCTGCCTTGAGGAACGAAAGGACTTTGCCTTGAGGAACGAAAGGACTTTATGCCCCCGGATTTTTTGTCCCCCCGGATTCGCGCCCCTGATTCGCCAGCTTTTGTCCGCTTCTCGTTGGTTGGCTTTTTCTCCCGGCCTGCTTTCCGGTTGGCTTGAAAATTGCCTCTTTCGTCTTGTTTCGTCTTAAAATGGTTGCTTTCCGGTTGGCCTAAAGGTTTGCCCTCTTTCGTCTTGTCCCTTTGCCCTTTGTGCGAATCCCGCCTTCCTGTTGGGTGTGAAAAGCCGTTGCCGTTCCCGCTCAAATTCCCCAAATTCCGCTTTCCGGTTGGCCTCCGATTGGCCTGGCAGTTACGTCCTTTTGCCTTAAGTCTCTTGCTTATACGTTGGCCGTTTCCCCGCGTCCGACGTCATTCATGCAATTCATGCCTGTCCAGGGCTTCTCTGTTTCTGCGCGAATTCAATTCGAAGTCGTCGCCGAGCCAGCACAGCGCCTCCCGGACGGTTCGGTCGCTCAGTTCCTCTAGCCTCGCTTGTGCGGCCGTCATCTCCCGGGGGACCCGGTTTCCCAGGTCCCTCTCGCACCTTCGACACGAGCATGATGCCGTCCAGCGTCGGGCACCGCGACAGCTGCACGTACAGGCTATACGGGTCGCACTGCGAGGACGGCACGTCCGCCGACGTTTATCGTCCTCGTCCTCGCAGCTCGAGCGCGACGCGCTCGAGCGTCCCCCCCTGCACCTTGTAATCCGTGCATGCGAAGGCGGCGGCGCACGGCAGGCCCTTGCGGCTGACGTCGTTCTGCTGCCACGGTCGCTTCCGGTGACACTGGATCCTGACGCTCATGGGCGTCAGGAGGATGGTGCCAGGCGGCATCCCGACGAAGTGGAAGTCCTTGGTCGTCTCCGACCCCAGTATGATCGCCGCCGGCGGCCCGAAGTGGATCACCATGTCGGCCGAGAGCCGATGCCCCGGGTGCGCCTTGTCGACGATGACCTCCGCCGCCGTGTAGCCGGCGCCGTTCACCAGCTTTAGCCCCTGGTGGGTGTTGCGGTTCACGACGACCGGCATCCCCGGCACGAACATGAAGACGGCCGGCACCGGGATCGCGCTGTCGTCGCCCTGGTTCAACATCATGATGGCCTCTTCCTCGGTCGGCAGGCCGTCCTTCCATTTGTGCTCGGAGAGGAAGATGCGCACCGTCGACCGCTGCTGGATCTGGAACGCCAGGCTCGCCTCCATGTTGAGGTTCCACCGGTTCCTGTTGAGCGGCGTCACCACCGTGATACCCGTCTCCCACGGGATCCGCCTGCCTTCCGGTGGCACCTCGAGTTGAGGAGATCCAGGTCCGTGTGGTCCTGCACGCCCCGTCGGATCCGCTTCAGCAGCCGCCGCAGCTCCGGGTCGCCGGCGGCGCGCATCTGCTCGTCCAGAATGACGACGGTCGTGAACCCCTTCCACAGCGCGTGCGCCTTGTCGTGCTGGTGCCGCTGCTCGGCACTGAACGAGTTGTCCTCGTCCCACGAGACGGCCGCGCTCGGCAACAGGATCGACCTCTCCTGGACGGGGCGGAACTGGTGGAAGTCCCGCAGAAGAGGACGATGGGGATCCCCGAAGTCCCGCTTCGATCCCCGCAGCTGGCAGAGCCGCTCGTTGACGGCGTGCAGCGTCCGCGCGCCGAGCATGCTCACCTCGTCGATGACGAGCACGTCCTATCCTGCCAGTCCATCCTGGACTGGCCGTTAACGAACCGCTCCGCCTGCCTCGGCAACCGCGCCCCGTCGACGTCCCTCGCCGTGTTCGCGCCCGGCCCTTGGTCCTGGTGAAGCCGCAGGCGGGTGGATGGTGATGCCATTGACCCGCGCCGCGGCGGTCCCCGACGTCGCCGTTATCAGCAGGCGGCGAGATGCCCTTCGCGGCGAAAAGGCCCACGAGTGCTCCGATGACGCGAGACTTGCCGGTGCCGCCCTCGCCGCCGACGAATTGGCAGAGCTGGCTGACGTCGCCTCCGTCTCCTTGCCGCATCGAGTCCAGGTGGCGGCATAGTATGGAGAAGGCGATCGCCTGTTTCTTGTTCAGCGTCAAGCGTGTCGTCAAGCCTTTCCCGGCCTCGAGGAAGGAGGTCGACGGGCCGAGGCGGACTTCCATTCCAGCCCCCGCGTTACCTGCCGTCTCCTCGGCTTCCGCTCGCGTCATCTGCACGTCTTCCTCCCCGAAGCCGGTCAGCACGCTCCTCTCCGCTGCACCACGATCGGTGCCGTGGGCCGGGGCCATGCTTTGTATGCCCTGGATCATCTTCACCCTCTCCCTAGAGGCGCATGTCTGCTGCGACTTGATGGCCTTGACCTGGTCCTGCGGCGGCACCGCAGCCCCGGAAAACACCTGCCCCGGCATGTCGATGTGCCTCCCGTCCCGTTCCCTCACGATGGCGGCCTGAAGCTCGGCGGTCGAGACCAGCGCTGATTGCTGGAAGCGGCACAGCTGCTGTATCATTCCCGAAAGCTCGCGCGATCCCGCCGTGATCTGGCTCGCTCCGGCCGCGCTTCGGACGACGTCGATTAGTCGCGTTGCGTTTCCGACGTTGTCGGACTGGTACGCCGAGGCCGCGTCGTGGTCCCCCGGGTGTTGGCCCCCCTCCTCCCCCGCGCCGAGAGCGCCGCCGGGATCCCCGTCACCGCCCGAGGCCGCCCACTGCTTGGCGTCTCGCCTTGCGTCCTCGGCGGACCGCCGGAGCAGTTGAACGTTATCGACGAGGCAGAGAGTTCTCGGCGGCAGCTGCTCTCGCGCCCGCCTCCATATATCATTGATGTCGCCTCGCTCTTCGCCGAGAAAGGCCTCCCACGGCACAAACAGGGCAAGATGCTGCACGGCTGCTCTGCGACGGCACAGTAAGCCCCCCCGCGTCGCGACCCCTCTTCGCCCCGCCGTCATGCCGAACTTACCTGCGATGGCCCGATTCCTCGTCGTCCTGCTCGAAATCCTTGCTTAGGTAGCCGTCAAGGCAGACGACGGCGTGCTTTCCCGGCCGCCTTAACACCTGCACCCAGTCCCTACCGGCCTCCCAGCCGCTCTCGAACGGCACCTCTCCCCAGGCACCGGAGCACCCTTCCTTGCCGACGCGTTGGAGCCTAACGAGCGAGACATAGTCATATAGGCACAAGCCTCGTAGGACGTGTCCGCGATGATGGTACGCCTCGGCGAAGCTGATCCGTTCGCCTGCTTCATCCACGACGACCGACTCGTCCACGGACACGTCTGCGACCGCGGTGCCGCTCTCCTGCCGAAGGTGTCGCCACCGCCTGGAGACGTGCCAGTAGAGCACCGACACGTTCAGGTACGCCCAGGCGCTGCTGCCCGTGAACTCGCTCGGGTATCCCAGGAGATGGGCGACGACCTCGACTTGTGACAGAGCCCGCTCCGTGAATACCCGATTCGCCACTCTCATCAGAAACTGCCGCGTCTTGTTTTTAGTTCCATCGCCGTCGCCGACGACGCCACCACGGGCGTCATCCCCGGCACCCGGCTGGCCGCCGGCCGAGAGAACGGGCAGCAGTTCCGCCGCGGCGGCGACGCGCTTCCACGTCGGGTCCTCCACCTTGGTCGCGTAGTTCGTGACGTAGTAGACGAGCGCCATGGTCTTCCGTTGCGTCGCTATGAAGGAAATGTCATGGTTGTGGCGGAGCCCCACGGCGATGGCCTTGTTCCACCGGTTCACCATGGGGTGTGTCCTGCGGATCCGCAGTACACCGTCCGATGAGAAGGCAGTCTCCTCGACCAGCTTCCATGGCGCCTTGAAGCGACAGAGGTCGCCCTTTCGCCCCTTGTTGCCCAGGGAGTACTTGACGCATGTCGGGCTATGGGTGTGGATCTGCGTCGCGCCGGCGCAGAAATTGGCTTCCTCTTCGAATGAGGCCGAGAACTGCTCGGCACTGTCCAGCAGGGATGATATATCAGACGTCGCCGAACGCTCCGCCTGGACGGCGCAGAACCCTTCCTGGTCTAAGTCCTAGTTTCCGCGTCAGCCTGCGTCCTCTTGGCCTATGACTACGACGCCCTGCCGTTACCTCGCTAAAGACACTATCGACGTAGCGGACGATTCGCTCGCGGTAGGCCGCCTGTTCCTCCCCGTCTGAGTCGGCAAGCATCCAGCTCAGGCGCGTGTTTCCGTCTAGCCAGAGCAGCCCGTGGACATGAAGAGATCCTCGCTCGTTGGTTTCCACGGCGCCATAGTACTGGCTGATGCGGCCGAAGACCGACTCCCCCCCCATGTTGACGTAATGCTCAAAGAACAGCGTCATCTCCCGGTGGAAGAAGATGGCTGAGCTCATCGGGTCGGAGACGGATAGCCGCACCCGTTTGAATGACTTATCGAGGCTCCGCAGGAACTCCTCGGCCGCTTCGGGGTCGCGCGCGCGGTGCGCTGCCAGTCGGAGCTTCACCGGGTTCGTGATGTCGTTTGGGTTGATCGTGAACCAGATCGCGGGCACGCCGTAACGGACGATGAGCGCCAAGATCCTATGCCGCATCCCGAGACGGAGCTCTCTGGACATGGGCTGACGATAGCCATACAACGAAAGGCTCCTGAGGAGCTCCTTTACGGCGTCGTCGGTCGTCTTGCCTGTGCTCTCCAGCTCGGCTCTAGCTGCCGCCAATCCGTCTGCGGTCAGCGACCGTACGATGCGCTCCACCTTGCGGAAGTTCTTCCTCGTCACGCTCAGCATGCTGACGCGACGGTTCCTCGACCGCACGCCCATGTTAAAGACGAGGAACGCGAATATGTGGTGCGTCGCGAACCGGCCGCCGTGGCGTCGCAACACCGTGTCGGCCCACGTCCGAAGGCTCATGTTCCGAGACGACAAGAGGTCCCGCGTCCCGGCCTCTTCCGCCTCGCGCGTGTTGGCGGTGCCTCTGCCCAACTGTACGGTTGCCTCTTCGACCGGTCGCGGCCCTCCGACGCCAAATGGCAACAGCGTGGGAAAGGTCTTTGCGAAAAAGGAGGCTTCGAACGAGTCGGCGAATTCATCCCCGCGGCGAATGCGTATGTGCGGCTCAGAACCATCGGCGTGCCCTAGCTGCCCCCTTGCCGAGGTTTGCACCCACGTCCTCGGGCCCGTGCCGCCGTCGCCTGCGCCTTCGCGGACGACATCGCACGCGAACCGCAATTTGTCCACGTCGGCCACGTCGGGCGGCCCGTCCAACGCAAATATTCCGGATGAGGTCACCTCGTTGATCGTCTTCGCATCTTGATTAGGCTCGCCGCCGCTCTGGCCACGCGCCTCGTCTACCTCGTTTGACTCTGGCTCGTCGTCCTCGCGAATCGTCGTGCTTCCCCCTTGGTTGAGCAGAGAGAGGATTTCTTCGATCTCTACCGCCCCCTCGTCGTCCATGGCCCGCTCCGTGGGCGGCACGACGCGCCGTCCGCGTCTTCTCCCACGCCGACGCCTCGTTCCGCTCGAGGCGCTCGTACACCAACGGCGGCACCCCGTCGGCCGAGTCTCCCCAGCTCTCCATCTCCGCCGCGTCGATCTCGATCCCGGCGTAGTGTGGGTTGTTCCTCTTCAACCAGATGAGGGCCCTCTCGACCACTCGCCGCCTCACCGACAGGAGGCTCGACATGTCACTTGGTGTCGGCCTTACCGCCCCCTGCCACGAGACGTGGATCTCGTCCATCACCCGGACGAGCGGATGCGGCAGCACGTTCGTTGCCAGCTCTTGCACGTTGTTCGGGAACACCGTGATGTGGCCCTTGACGTGCTTGGGGTACGTTAGCGTCTGCTTCTGGCCGCCTGAGACGTTGTACCTTGTGACGAACCCATAACATGAGTTCAGCGCGATCAGCTTCTCCTCCACCGGCGTTAGGCCCTTGAGCTCGTCGGGGAAGACGTGCTCGCAACCGAGGCGGCCATGGAGCAGCGCCGCCGGCGACAGCACCCGCGCGCCAGGTGTCGAGAACACTCCGCGCAGAGCGGGACGGGCTCGCCCTCGCGGAAGCAGCCTCGGCACGCAAACGGCGAGCTCCCACCCTTGGGAATGGGACTCGACAGCCACCGGTCCCATGCCGTCTCCTCAGCTCTTTTCTTGTGCTCTTCCGGTAGCATAGCATGCACCTCTGTATCGGCAGCGTGTCCACGTCGTGGAACGCCCGATAGAAGCGTCGTACCGTCGACACCTTCCTCTCATGCGGTACTGGTATGCACCAGGTTTGCTCGTTGGATAGCCTCTCCTTTACGGCGAATTCCTCCTCAAGATAACGTAAGACGCTGTCTAGGTCTTCCACCTGTAGCTCACTTCTCCTCTGCCTCTGACGGCCGCGTCGACTACGTTTTGTTGGGGGCTGGTCTCGGTCGGGCTCGCGGATCCTCTTTCTCTGTTCCACGGGCTCCGAAGATCTCGCCGCCGCCTCGACTCGCCTCGGCCGATCCTCCTCTCCTACCGCTGCCTGGCGTGGTGGACGTGGTGGCAACCGTCCGGATGACTGCGTATCTCCTGCTCCATCTCCCGGCTCTTTGGGCTGGATTGCCTGCACGGGGGGCTCCCTGACGGCTGTGGAGGATAACCCGAGTGTCGTTGCCGGCCGATCCTGTCCTGCCTGGCGTGACGGCCGTGGTGATAACCGTCCGGATGACTGCAGACCTCCTGCTCTGTCTTCCATCGCTTTCGCTCGGATTGACTGGACGAGGGGCCCCCTATCGACTCTATGCGACCCACCCTCGTCTGAGGAGGGCCCTTGTCCAGCCGTCTTCCTGATCTCTCTGGGCTGGATGGGTTGCGGCGAGTGCTGGCTTACATTCTCTAGCCGAAATCTTGTTAAACATCGCGCTTGCCCTCCATTTGAAGAGGCACCATTGGCGCGCGTCGTATTTTCTCGCGGCCGACTGCCTAGCCGGCTTCCCTGAGGCATCGCTCTTTCGAGTGCTTCTGCCTGTTCTCTTCGTGAGGCCTCCTCGGACACCGGCGCCTGCTTCGCCTCGATAGGCCGTAACCTGCGTGCCGGGCCCGCTCGACCTTCGTGGCCCAGCACCCGCTTCGGTCCCCCCGTCCGTTGCACTTCGGCTCGCGTCCGCGGTACTACTCGTTGTAGCGGCGACCGCTGCCCCGACGCACGACCCGCCCTCGCCAAAGGGGGGGGGGATGTGCCCGGCCGCGTCCCTGATCTCTTTGGGCTGGATGGGTTGCGGCGAGTGCTGACTTGGCTCTCCCAGCGGATATCTCATCCTCTTTCTACTTGTCGGTCTCCCCCTCCCGTGTTTCCCCCCGGCGCCAGTTGTCCGCTCAACAAGACCCTTCAGAGTCAGCTGCATGCCACCGCTAGGTTGCCTAGGCCGAACGGTCTCGGGGCCATCTCCGGCCACAACGGAAGATCCCCTGACGCCTAGGCCTTCGTTTCGCCTGACCAAGACCCCTGGGGCGGATGGTGCTTGTAGAGCAACCCCTTCTCCCTCCAACACTGCGCCAACGGACGGCACAAAACCCCCCATGGCCGGCTCAGCACTTACCGGCCCTAATCTGACAGCGTCCGCTTCTATGATTAGAGGCATATCCCGCACGTTTGTCGATGCTGAGCGTCGCGCTCGCCCTCCCTTTGAGGAGGCACCATTGACATGCGTCGTCCTTCTCCGCGGCCGGCCGCCTCGCCGACTTCCCTTGGGCAACGCTCTTTTGAGCGCCTCTGCCTGCTCTCTTCGTGAGGCCTCGTCGGCCGCGGCGGCCGGCTTGGCCTCAATAGGCCGGAACGTGGGTGCCGCGTTTGCTTGACTTTTGTGGCCCGACGCCCGCTTCGGCCCTTCGTCCATTGCGCTCGATCTCGCCGCCGCAATCCTCCTCGTCGCGGCAGCGGCCGCTGCTGCTGCCCCTGTTTCGCACTCTCCTGCCACCGACCTTACCTCGCGGCTACGATTCTCCCCCATGATGGTGCTGTCTTATCGGCAGGGCTCTGCAAACGAACGATAGATTGGAAGCCTTCGCCCGGGATATGCCCCGAAATTGTCTCGCTCCCTGGCAATGGCGTTCTGCCGTGTTGGCATTCTTCCTACTAACGGTTATATCCTTCCTTGTTGATATCCCCTTTCTGCATTAGACCTCTCCTCTCTCGGACCTGCCGGGCTTCCTCTGGACGTATCGGCAGGCTTATCTGCCGACGGCCCTAGTTTTCGGCATCCTATGCCGGTAGCCCTGCCGGACACCTTAATCCGCGTCGCCCTTGGTGCCCGATCAGTACCCAGCTCCGCAACACCACGACGCATCTCTTTGACGTCTGCTTACTTACAGCGGCAAGGCTCCTCGCTCTTCCCGGCGAATCCATACCACTATTGATCTACTATAAGTGCGTTTACGCTCGACTTCTTCCCTACTCCTTTCTTGACGCCGAGAACCCGTCCTTTTAGTGCGTGCGACTGGCCTATCGACCTGCGCAGATACACTATGTCTTCCTCTCTACTTCCTACCGATATGCCCGCACCGCACCTTCGAAAGCCGCTCGATAGCCAAAGGGGCGCTGGCGGTGAGATGTCTATGATGTCTTTTGTCCAGCCGGACTGTCCTGCTAGATTTTCCCACCAGGACGACCACCGCATTAGGGGTCTTAACGCCGAGGCCATGGCCCGCGTCTTCCTGCCTCCGCCCGCCTGGCTGCTCGCGACGGAATATGCGCCCTCCGATCGGATGCCGCTGATTCCCCGACATCCGTCTTTTTAGCCTCAACCTCTCCATCTACGGCCAGCCTATTGATCCATCCGACTGGACCGAAGAGTGGTTTTTCATGCATGCCCGCGTCCACCCCTACGCGCTCGCATGGGAGGTTGAGCAACGCGACGGCCTGGAGTCTGGCACGGGCCGCACCCTTCTCTATACGATGCCCGCCCTTGCCGTCCGCGATCAGGGCTACCAGCCGTAAGCCGTGCCCTGACCCTTCGCGAGTGCCGACGGAACGGTATATGGCTAAGATGGGCCTGAAGCGTTCTCCCTAGGCTCTTTGCCTCTATGGGCGACTTCCCCTGCATCCCGCCTATTGTTTCCTTTACCGGCCTTGTCGTCGGCACCGGCCACTCCTCGCTGCGGCGGGACCTACTGCCCGGTCTAGACGCCGCCCAACTTAACTGTTGCGGCTTTGTCCGCCTTTCTACCTATGTCGCTCCTGGGATGCCCAATAAGGTCCCCTTCAAGGGCTTCCACCCGTTCCAGGTCTTCGTTATCTTCCCTATTCGCGCTAACCCCTGGGCCGTCTTGTGTAGGAAGATGGCCGAGAGGCAGGACTCTCAATTTCAGCCTAACGTCCCCTTTACCTGCACAGGCAAGGTCGCTGGCCTGCTCCGGCATGACGTTATGCTCTACCCCCCGGGCTCTTACCGGGACAACGTCTTTATCGTCGTCCCAGATTCCTGGACTTTTCTCGACAAGGCCGCCGCCGCCGTCACCACGATGGCACCGCTTCTCTCTACGCCACAGAGGCAACAAGCTTCCTCCGCTTCCGCGGCCTTCCAGGACATGCGCGCTGCCTCTTTGTCTTTGATCACCCCTGGCACCCTCCGCCCAGTCCTCCACCTTTGGCTTCGGCTTCGCCCTCGACCGGCCACCTTACGCCGCCCGGGAAACGATATTGCCCTGAGCCTGCCGATACGGCGACGAAGCGACCGTGTCTGCTGCATAAGGCCCCGGTGATCTCGTCTTCCCTAAGCCCGCCTCCTCTGCCACCCAGTCGTTCTCTGTTTCGGCTGCCTCCGCCGCTCATGAGCCGGACAACCTAAACCGGGTCCTGACCTACGGGACTCTTCCCTCGATTCCATTGTCGCCCATGGCTTGGGCTCGCCGGCCCGTCCCCTTCGAAACCGCCACCTATATAAGAAAGCTACGGAAATGGAATAGCGTACGCTGCTATAACTTCTTAAATGGGAAGTGTTTTTCGTCTAGCCTGACTGCCCGTTGGTCGCCGTTACCTTTCTGCCTCTGTACATCTGCCCCTGTACATCTCCCCCTGTACATCTGCCCCTTGTGTAGACTTTCGTTCCTCAAGGCTCTTTGCGCAACCCCTGTTGGGTTGCCTCTCCCGTTTGCGCGAGCCGCGGCTGGCGAGCCTTCCCCTCGTGAGGAACGAAAGGCTCTTCTGGACGGGAAAAAAACCCAAAACTACCTTCACCCTCGAAAATCTTGGCTTCTGATTGGAGAACCTTTCTTGCCTGCTGATTGGAGAACCTAAAAACCCCAAAACTTCTAAATCCCGCCTTCCGATTTGGTTGTTTAAGGATTACCTTTTTCGTCCTAGCCCCCCTTTTTTTTGCCCTCCGGCGCTATTGGACTCAGCCCCTCGCTTCGTCCGTCTTTCTTCCCACGCCCGTGCCTTTAGAAACCACGCCCATTACTACACGGATTGGACTACAACTACATTCACTAAGCTTCGTATGGATAATGCCAACGCTACGAGGTCACTCCAGGAAGTGCTCCAGCTACTCTTCGACAAGTTGCAACGGTGTCAGCGTGCCCTCGGCAGGAATTTGCTGATGAAGTTCACCTTCGAACAACCCTTATCAACGCCTGCCGCGGCGTGCCAGAATTGAGCACGCCCTCTTCAAGCCATCAAACAAGATAGAGGCGTTGTTTGCAGATCTTCGTTCTTCCATTGAAACACATCTCGCACGCGGCACAACCCCCCAATACGCCCAGGATGATAACCAGCAGTACTACCTTGATCGTCGATACAACAACAACCGCGAAAGAGGTAGTGGATACAGAGGAAGCAGAGACTTCAGATGCCAGAGCTACAACCGCGGTAGATTCAACCAACGCCCTCAAGGCAACAACAACCGCCCCTGGACTAGGAAGTGCTTCGTGTGCAACAAAGAAGGCTGCTGGTCCATCAAACACACGGCCGAAGAACGTCAGAAGGCCAAGAGTCAATATGTAGCCCACTGTCACTTCACGGGCACGCCCGTGGAACTCGCGGCCTATGTGACGGACTACGAAGGCATTGAAGGCGACCCCGCTGACGATGACGGCGACTGGGATGAGAATCAGGATGACGATGCTAACCCGAAACAGTGGCAAGCAAGTCAAATGCTCTGCCAGCAAGCGTTCAACCATTTGATCACTGGTGAAGACGCTTACCGTACAGATCAAAACACTGTTCCCGCCTCACAATTTGTTATTGAAGACCGCTATTCAAAAGACAAATTCCAAGGCATCATGATTGACACAGGTGCAGCCAAAGTCTCTACAGCCGGTCACTCTCAGTACATTGCTTTACAACGAGAAGATCGCTCTGTAGCCTAGACAGCTCCAAGTCCGGCCAGGCTACCATCAAATTCGGGAATGGCGAAGCCATTCACTCGGTTAACTCCATCGCCCTCAAAACACCAGTCGGACGGATCACGTTCCATATTCTTCAGACTCCTACCCCTTTCCTGCTTTCTTTGGCCGATATGGACCGTCTTGGAATATATTTTAACAACATCAAAGACACCATCGAATGTACTAATCATTGTACTAATCGCCAAATGAGCATCCCTGTCACCCGTAAATGGGGACACCTGGTTCTTTCTCTCTAAGGCCGAAGACTCCATCACGTTTCTCACAGAGGCTGAGATTCGTACACTTCACCGACGATTTGGACACCCAGCAGTCCCTAGGCTATATCACCTTCTGAAGCAAGCTGGCCACAGCGACGTCTCGATAGGCACATTAGAGACTGTCTCTAAGTTCTGCCATCACTGTCAAATGCACTCGCAAGCCCCGAGACGCTTCAAATTCACCCTCAAGGATGACCAAGAGTTCAATTACGAAATCATCGTTGATGTGATGTACCTAGGAAGCCCACAACGCCCTGTTTTGCACGTTGTGGACGCAGCCACTGCTTTCCAGGGAGCAAGATTCCTACCCTCAATGTCAGCTAAGGATACATGGGAGACCCTTCGGACCGCCTGGATCGACACGTACCTTGGACCCCCTGACACCATTCGACACGACGCAGGGACCAACTTTGCTTCAATGGAGTTCCGCCAAGAAGCAAAACTCATGGGGATCAAATGCTCTCAAGTGCCTGTTGAGACGCATTGGTCCATCGGAAAAATTGAAAGATATCACGCCCCCCTCCGACGCGCGTATGACATCCTAAACGCGGAACTAAGCAACGTCACCTCCGCCGAAGCAGTGCTCCAAATGGCTGTAAAAGCTATTAACGACACAGCTGGACCTGACGGGATTGTTCCAACTTTGCTTGTCTTTGGCGCCTACCCTCGTTTAACTGCGGAATCGCCCCCTTCTGCTTCTACCCTGAAAAGGTCGGCCGCGATGCAGAAAGCGATGAAGACGCTCCGCCAACTCTCAGCGGAAAGACAAGTTAAAGATGCCCTTCGCACGCGCAACGGACCGTCCACCGCCGACGTTTTATCCTCCCACTGCAAAGTGAAGTTCGTGTTTGAGAGAAAAGACGGCTGGCAAGGACCTTTCAAGATTGCTTCGATTGACGGACATAACGTCACGATTGATACAGTCAATGGCCCCAAGTCTTTCGTTCCACGCACGTACAGCCGTACCTGCGTGATGACTCCACAATCCCTCAAGTTCCTGCCCTGCCCAGGACGAAGAAGAAACCCTGCCCGACCTGACCCCGGCACCCCGCAAGAGGACGCCCACCCGGATCCAAGAACAAGCCAAAGGATTTGATCATGATGACCGCTCCTCCAGGCCAAAGTTTCCTGACTCAGAAGGAAGAAGATGCATACGCTTTATCCATCAAACTCAGGAATGAAGGCATCATCACTGCTCCCGGCGCCCCATTTGAAGAATCCGATAACATCGAGATCACTGACCTCGTAGGACGAGGTGTATTCAGCTTTGAACGATACGATCGAATGATTCACGGTAATCATCACATCTTTCGCTCCCGAATGGTTCGTGAAGTCAAAGGCAAAGACACCAAACCGTACGAGAAATCACGACTTGTTGTTCAAGGACATAGCGACTTTGAGAAGACCACCCTACTAACGCAATCTCCGACAATTCAACGCGTTAGTCAAAGACTCATTTAGCTATTGCCCCGGACTTCTTCAAGGCAACGGCATGACCTTTCCCTTCGCGACATCACTCAAGCATACCCACAATCCCAAACCGAGCTATTCCGGACAATTCTGACCTATTTGCCCACCGAATTGCAAGGCAAATACCCCCATGGAACGATCATTCGTGTTATCAAGCCCCTATACGGAATTGCAGAAGCTGGAGTCCATTGGTATCGTACATATCAACAACATCACCTCAAGAACCTTGATATGTCTACTTCAACCTATGATTCCTGCCTTTTGATCACAAACACCGGCCCTAACACGTTTGGCATTGTTGGAATGCAGACAGATGATACCCTTATGCTTGGAACAGACAGCTTTTCCGCCCGTGAAGAAGAAAAGCTCGAGGAAGCACAATTTCGAGCCAAACCAAAGACATCGATGACCCCAGGAACAACGGTTGACTTCAATGGTGCAAAACTTACCCTGCTGGACATAGGATCCCTATCGCTTCAGCAAAAAGGACAAGCCACCAAAATCGCCACCATTGACCCCAAAGCATTTGATCATAGCCAACGCTACGTCGAGCAACGAGCGCGCGGATCGTACATGTTGCACTGTTACACTGGCACATCAATATCTACAAGCCTCATCAACCTTTCTTTTGCAAGGCTTATTCACCATTCCCTCAGCCGAGGCATATTCGGCCGTATACTCAGCCAAGACTCATTTTGTCTTCCAGTCAACCTAGGCTAATGCAGGCAATTAACCTTCCTTTTGCCTACGCTTTTCACAGCCACAACCCAACAGCTGGGTTATTCATTCACTTCCACTGTTCTTCTAGCTATATAAGATCATTTACACTCCCTCTCTAGATAGAAGAATCAAGAGCTTTATTCCACTCAAGATTAATGCTTGCTGCCCATCTCGTACTGCAATATATATTAATAATTATTGATAAGCTTAAGAATACATAACAATATGGAGAATCCGTAAACAATACATAACAATATGCCAAAAGTATGTATTTATTTATTATTTAGATGTCTGCCGATCCGAATGCCGGCCTCATTTTTTCCAAATCTCCGGCACAGCGGCCGACAGCACTTAGACTAAGGGGCCCGGCGTCAAAGACAACGCGTACGGAAGCGGCAAGACCGTTCAGAGGGAGCTTCGCGGCGACTCTCCCTCAGACATACAAATGAGCAGATAGTACTCGATACGTTGCTTCTTGCTCTGGAGACGTCTTCGGGTATGATAATAGTGATACTGTGGGTAGGCACCTGCGGCAGCTGCTGCAATGAGACGGTACTAGGGTTAACCTGTGATGTTGTATTCGTCTTGTTCTCTATCTAAGGAGGCAGAGGCCAGCGTGGAGAAAGGGGGCACGCTGCCCTCAGCCGCACACGTGACCGTACGGGTCACGTGCCAACCATGGTTGGTCACACCACTAGATAGATACATTCCTACACAGGCAACTCTTCTTTTGCTGTGAGAAGCACAGCAACACCTTGAACAGGTCTAAAGGATAGTAGCGTTAAGGCCGTGAAGGAATGTGCCGTGAGGGCGTGTGTCATTATTGCGAAAAAGTGGGTCCGACGTCTTGTTCTTAGCTGTAGATATCGGGGAAGAAGTGAAGGGTCTTCCTGATAGGAGCAATCATTT